ATTATAGGCAGCTCAACGCGATTACGAAACCCGATCGTTACCCAATACCGCGTATTCAAGACTGTACCTACTTGTTACACGGGAAGAGCATATTCTCCCGAATAGATATGCAGAGAGCATACCACAATATACCTATTTTTGAGAAGGATATCCCGAAGACTGCTATAGCTTGCCCTTTTGGTTTATTTGAGTTTTTAAGATTAGGCTTCGGATTTAAGAACGCTGCAGCCACATTCCAAAGTTTTCTGAACGACGAGGTACTGCGAGGCTTAGACTACATATTCATATATATTGATGACGTCATTATTGCATCATCATCAGAAAGTAAACATAGAGAGCATGTACGTGAAGTATTGAAACGACTGAATGGATATGGCATTACAATAAACATGGCCAAGTGTGAGTTTGGAAAAACGGAGCTAAATTTTCAGGGATTTCGTGTATCGAAGAAGGTCTTAAACCGTTAGATGAACAGGTCAAAAGCATATCCGAATTTCCGAGACCTAGAAAAATAAGTGAGTTGCGTCGATTTCTCGGGATGATAAACTTCTACAGGCGTCATATACCGAAAGCAGCCAGTATTCAGGCAAAATTAAATATTTTCTTACACAACGCGAAGAAAAAAGATAAAAGTCTGATTCCATGGAGCGACGTAACAAATGAGGCATTTGAACAATGTAAACATAGCCTAAAAAGCGCAATCACATTATCATTTCCGTCAGCAGATGCACCGATAGCCCTCATGACTGACTGTTCTAATACCTGCGCAGGGGCGGTACTGCAACAAAAAGAAGGGGAGGATTGGAAGCCCCTAGGATTTTTCTCAACCAAACTAAGCGATACGCAGCAGCGGTATTCAACATATGACAGAGAACTATTGGCGAAATTGGCGGGGGTTTGTTTTGTGTTTGGTGCGACCAACCACGCCTTTGGTATGTGCAGTGTGAAGCCATACTGGGACCACAGAAGCTCAGCGACGAGGCCAGATATAATTTAGTTGTCACGAAATTAGGTAAAGACGTAGTGCAGCAGGTCAGTGACATTCTTCTCAAGCCGCCCGATGTTAAGAAGTTTGACACGCTTAAAGAGCGCTTATTAAAAATCTATGAAGAGTCGGAAATCAGACAATTTCAAAAGCTATTAGGGGAAATGGAGCTGGGGGATCAGAAGCCATCTCAACTCCTGCGTCGGATGAGGGACTTGGCTCGCGACAAAATACCCGATGACACTCTACGCATTATGTGGCAGGGACACCTGCCTTCTACGGTGCGAGGAGTGTTGGCGGTCAGTGAAGTGAAGGATTTAGAGCATTTATCGGCTATTGCGGATAAAGTCATGGAGACCACGCAACCATTGCAAGTGGCAGAAGTACAGGCCACGTCCAGCAGTTCTAGTGCCGATCATAGCTTTATTTTAGCGGAAATAGCTAAGCTGAGCCTAAAAATAAGAGAAATGGAACAGGACCGGAATCATAATCGTAATTTCAATCGATATCATTCACGGTCACGCTCCGCATCGCGAGGACGTAATATGACACGGCGTTCACCGAGCAGCCCGGACTGGCTTTGCTCTTATCATTATAGATTTAGGCATAGAGCGAAGAAATGTATAGACCCGTGCGCCTGGAAAAAACAAAAAAATCCGGAAAACTAAATGTGGTGTACTCGCAGGCGGAGATATGCACCATTACTCCTATACACCGCCTATGTGTTACAGATAAAAATAGTGGTTTAAAATTTTTAGTAGATACAGGTGCAAATATATCGGTACTACCATTTATCAAAAATAAGTTTCTATAGTGGAAAATGTGAAGACTATAAACTTTACGCAGCTAATGGTACAGAAATAAAGACTTATGGTGTAAAAACGTTGCACTTAGATTTAAAGCTACGTAGACCCTACAGTTGGACATTCGTTGTGGCAGAGGTCAAGCAACCTATACTCGGAGCTGACTTCTTGTCTCATTACACGTTTATTAGTGGACGTTAAAAACAGAAAACTAATAGATTCACTGACTAGTCTACAGACTATTGCATCTGTGGTTATGCAAGAAGAGCCTACAGTAAGGACAATCGACTACAAAAGTGATTATAGTGATATTTTGGCAGAATTTCCCAACGTAACGAAACCAATGAATTTTAAAAACACTCCATGTCATTCAACGGTACACTACATCGAGACTTCGGGACCAGCCGTACATACTCGTCCACGACCATTACCACCTGATAGATACAACAAAGTCAAAGCTGAATTTCAACGCATGCAAGAAATGGGGATATGTAGGCCTTCCAAAAGCAATTGGGCGAGTCCTCTGCATGTAGTTATGAAGAAAAACGGTGAAATTCGACCTTGCGGTGATTATAGGCAGCTCAACGCGATTACGAAACCCGATCGTTACCCAATACCGCGTATTCAAGACTGTACCTACTTGTTACACGGGAAGAGCATATTCTCCCGAATAGATATGCAGAGAGCATACCACAATATACCTATTTTTGAGAAGGATATCCCGAAGACTGCTATAGCTTGCCCTTTTGGTTTATTTGAGTTTTTAAGATTAGGCTTCGGATTTAAGAACGCTGCAGCCACATTCCAAAGTTTTCTGAACGACGAGGTACTGCGAGGCTTAGACTACATATTCATATATATTGATGACGTCATTATTGCATCATCATCAGAAAGTAAACATAGAGAGCATGTACGTGAAGTATTGAAACGACCTGAATGGATATGGCATTACAATAAACATGGCCAAGTGTGAGTTTGGAAAAACGGAGCTAAATTTTCAGGGATTTCGTGTATCGAAGAAGGTCTTAAAACCGTTAGATGAACAGGTCAAAAGCATATCCGAATTTCCGAGACCTAGAAAAATAAGTGAGTTGCGTCGATTTCTCGGGATGATAAACTTCTACAGGCGTCATATACCGAAAGCAGCCAGTATTCAGGCAAAATTAAATATTTTCTTACACAACGCGAAGAAAAAAGATAAAAGTCTGATTCCATGGAGCGACGTAACAAATGAGGCATTTGAACAATGTAAACATAGCCTAAAAAGCGCAATCACATTATCATTTCCGTCAGCAGATGCACCGATAGCCCTCATGACTGACTGTTCTAATACCTGCGCAGGGGCGGTACTGCAACAAAAAGAAGGGGAGGATTGGAAGCCCCTAGGATTTTTCTCAACCAAACTAAGCGATACGCAGCAGCGGTATTCAACATATGACAGAGAACTATTGGCAATATATCTGGCCATCAAGCATTTCAGACCTATCGTTGAAGGACGATTATTTACGGTGTACACCGATCATAAACCGATAGTGTACTCGCTACAAAAAAATACCATGGGCAAAAATGATACACCAAGGAGAATACGACATCTAAATTTTATTATGCAGTTTTGTACTGATATTAGATATGTTTCCGGGGAAGAAAATATAGTTGCGGATTGTTTTTCGCGCATAGCAGCGATAGACGCATCACCTATAGATTACAAAAAGTTAGCCGAGATACAGAGTAAAGATACAGAGTTAAAGGATCTTTTGGAATCGAACACATTACAATTTCGAAAGTTATTCATGCCTAATTGCGAGTTACCTATATATTGCGAGGTATCGACTAATAGGACGCGACCATATTTGCCTAAGGAATTTCGTGTATCAGCTTTCAACGCGGTGCATGACATCAGCCACCCTGGGACGCGTGCAACTAGAAGAATGATGCAAGATCGTTATATGTGGAAAGGAATGAACAAAGACATTACACAGTGGGCTAAAGCGTGTATAAGTTGCCAAAAATCTAAAATACATAGACATACTGTGTCACCTCATGGGCATTTTGTACATAGTGATAGATTTGAACACCTTCACATGGATATTGTGGGTCCTTTAACTTATAGCAGCGGTTATAGGTATATTTTAACAATGATAGATAGGAACACCGGTTGGCCTGAAGCCATTCCTGTAAAGGATATAACCGCCCAAACTATAGCGGATATTATTTACACCGGATGGATTGCGAGATTTGGAACCCCTTTATACTTGACAACTGATCAAGGATCTAACTTTTTGTCTAATTTGTTTTTCCAATTAACTAGAAGAATGGGTATTAATAAGATTAGAACCACTGCTTATCACCCGCAATCGAATGGTCTTGTGGAAAGAGGGCATCGCTCGCTTAAAACCGCACTTATGTGCCGAGGAAACACGGAACATTCGGTATCAGAATTACCATCTGTTCTTCTGGGATTAAGAGCTAGTATGAGAGACGACACGCAGATTAGTGCGGCGGAGATGGTGTTTGGAGAACCTTTAAGGTTGCCTGGGGATTTCTTCGAGCCTATAAAGCGGGAAACTTCTGACAACAATTTATTTTTGCAAGAATTACGTAGTAAGATATCAAATTTAGTAGCAGTGCCCAAAAAGGCAAACCATCAAGGAAAAATATTCGTCCATCCCGATCTTAAAGACTGCACTCATGTATTTGTTCGTGTTGATAAGGTCACAAAACCTTTAACACAACCCTACATGGGGCCGTTCAAAATTATTAGCAAAACGGAAAATTTTTATAAAATTATGCAACAGGATACGGAGAAAATAGTTAGTATAGATCGATTGAAGCCAGCCTTTGCACTTAACAACAGCGAGACATGCTCGAAGATACCGAATATGGCAAGTTATAATGTAAACAATGAGCCGAGAGTGTCGAGTTTCGGCCTAACTATCAAACCTGTCGTGCGCTTCGCCACATAAACACTTAATATATTAAATATCATCATTTATTGTCGAGAACAATGCGTGTGATTATATAGTGGGAGTGATTATATAGTGTTGTGACGTGTGTTTAAATAAGTGCTGATAATGACATTAATAAACAATTGCATGAACTTGGACAGTGTTGATACAAAGTGTAATCCCAATATTAACCGTATTTTTAAACTTGTGTAACTAAATTAAAAATAACACATATTTTTAAGTTATGTTTGTAACCAATTTTTTTTATTAGGGGGAAGTACTGTGCCTACGGCACTTCAGTATTGTATTGACTTTCAGCTGGTATATAGCTACATTGTCTCTGAACCATGCGGATCCGCATATTTGGTTCAACTCTGATATTTCTCGTCTTATACACTCATTCCTAGATACTGATCCCATTCTGCGCGCCTGACTGTGGCGCACATCCCATATAAAGATGTACTTGGCACCTACGCTCGCGTAGATCCTAAAGATTGGGTGACTTGTTATGTCCTCTATCGAATGAACTTCGGCATCGATGTGCATAATTTGCAGATCACATGAATTTGATAGTACCAATGGTTCTGGGTCGAATACCATTACTTTTCCTTTAAATCCGCGTCTCTCAAGAACCCTTGTCCATGCTTTACCTGGTGAGCCGCCGACATAAATGATGTCATATCCAAACCTTGGAATGGCATACATAATGGCACCCAGTTTCTTCTGACCGTCCTCTGTTGAAAACGAAATTAAGTCACGAAATTCGGTCCGGAAATATGATTCATTCATTACCTGTGGTAATGCACCTTCAACGCCATTAATATTCGAAAAATAATGTCCAATTATACAATTACCACATACCTCTGAGATATTGGCATACACATGCTCATTGAATACCGATTCTAATTCAGCTCCACACCAACGCAAGAATTCGTGTTTCGCTAGCACATCTCTTATCTTGTTGCAGTTGGAGATCATGGTACTTTTACCAGTGAGAATCTCATGCATCATATCGTACAATGCACCATCTGAGGAGGGCAGCTTCATGCCACGTAAATCATATATTAAGCCGCTAATGATTAGCTCGTTTAGGATGTTATTAGGTTTGGAAGCTACAACTATGGTAGTCGCGCGTTCATATCCCAATCGGAACCAAAACTTATCGAGATAGTTCTGCATTTCTGACGTGTTCTTGGGTGGATTGTAATGAATAACATGCTTATGCTGTATTGTGTTCGCAATGATGCGATATTGCTCCGAATCCACTAGGACTCCCCTGTAATTGCCGTTGTTCGCCATACCTCGTTTCCGTTCTGTACTCTTTTTCAACTTTTTCAATAACTTTAACTCTTTTTCAATAAGTGCTGATAATGACATTAATAAACAATTGCATGAACTTGGACAGTGTTGATACAAAGTGTAATCTCAATATTAACCGTATTTTTAAACTTGTGTAACTAAATTAAAAATAACACATATTTTTAAGTTATGTTTGTAACCAATTTTTTTATTAGGGGGAAGTACTGTGCCTACGGCACTTCAGTATTGTATTGACGGCTATATTAAACAGACGTGTCATTGTATATTGAGAGTTTTATTACAATACTCGACACCAAATAAATATTATACATACAAAACAGTACAATGGTTTATGATCACTAAGTATTGTGATTTTTTTGCCGTATAGATAGGGTCTGAAATGCTTGCATGCCCATACACTACTGCTAGTAGTTCTTTTTCGATAGCACTGTAACGTGTTTCTGCACCGTTAAGTGTTTGGCTAGCAAATGCTATAGGTTTGTCGCTACCTATAGGACCTTGTGACAGGACTGCTCCTAACGCAAAGTTAGATGCATGTGTTGTTAACAAAAAGGGCTTATCAAAGTCTGGGTATTGTAGCAAAGGTGCGTTAGTTAATAGTTCTTTGCATTTTTCAAAGGAATCTAAGAATTGTTTTGTAATAATGACCTTATTTCTTTTCTTTAAACAATTAGTTAAGGGTTGTGTAATCTTAGAAGTCTTTTATAAATTTACGGTAATAGCCTACTAATCCTAGGAAACTCTTGATTTCCGTTGGTGTTTTTTAGTAAAGGGAACTTTAATACAGCTTTTATTTTGTCGTCATTTGGTCTAAGACCGTCTTTTGTAATTGTGTGTCCTAGATAGAATACTTCCTTTTTTTAAGAATTCACATTTATCTAATGTTACTTTGAAGTTTGTCTGTCTAATGCCCGGTTTCTGAGGAACTTTTAACGGCAGTTTATCTATTCATTAGCGCTATTGGTTCGATAACCTAAGAAAGTGCGTTTCTGAACATCGCAATGTAAGATAAACTCCGTTTAAACTTAGGTTAACTTAACTGACCAATGTCTGCCGTATATCGATTTCATAACTTTATTTGACGTTTTGCTTCAAGCAAATTACATTAACTTTTAGGTTATAACTCATTATTATTAAATTGTCAGTGAAAGCTTAATATTAAAATTAACGTAATGAATACGAGCAGCTCATCAGAGTCTGATTTGGAAGTATTGGAGTTTATTTCTAATATTTCAGTACCTAGAAACTTAAGACGTAGGAGAAACCCTTTCGAAATGATTACGGATGAAGAATTTAAATTAAGATATCGCTTTGACAAGAACACTGTGATACACCTAAGTGATATTATCAGCCCTGATCTAGCTCCCGCTATGGATCGCAAATATACATTGTCTGTGTTGGAACAAATCTTCATAGCATTACGATTTTATGCTACAGGTGTGGATGAAAAACACCACAGGATGAAAAACTTTACAATGAAGCACAAGCTAAGACCAGAAACACAGTTGAAAGGACATTTGGTGTGTGGAAAAGGAGATTTGCATGCCTTTCTCAAAAATTAAGATTAAAATTAGATCACACATCAGCTGTAATTGTCGCAACAGCTGTGTTACATAATATAGCTCTACAGCAAAATGATACTGTGATGGCTGATTCTGCTCCTGAAGACGAAGTTAATGTTACAGAATCCACCCAACCACCTCTGAAGGAAACCGTTTTCGTCAGTTATTGTTGGAACAATATTATAGTTTTTCTTTCATAAATATCTCGAAGTACACAATGGGAACACAAAATAAAAAAAGCAACAAACTTGAGTAGATAATATATTTTATTTATATTTCAAGTGAAAAATACACTGAATGTAGATGTGATGACAGATTCAACAAAAACAAGAACTAATGAAATTAGAAAAACAAAAATTTAACTGGATTTTTCTTTTCAAAGAATGCTCAAATAGAATCCTGGAATTAAAAAAAAAAAATTTAGTTTATTATTATTATGTTGCACATCAATCCATCATAAACTAAAATTGTTCTTTTTATATTCCAGGTCCATTTTCGCATTTTCTGAAAGAGTTCTCTTTAACTCAATATCAATATCTAGTAAAATTTTAGTTTTTTCTAATTTCATAAGTTCTTGTTGCCGTTGAATTTCCAATATTTTCAACCTTTTGGTTGTTATGGCATCTTCATTAATTTGTTTTTGATTTTTTCTTTTAATTATTGAAGCACTGAGATTATTTATATTTCTTTTTTTTTGTTTCAGTTAAACATTTTTTTTTTAATTTTGGTGTGCTTTCAACATCCTGAAAGACATTCCCAACTGGTAAAATTGGTCTTTTGCGACATTCAACTTCTTTAGATGTTGATTGGATGTCACACACCGAATCTTCTTTTGCATCCAATACTATAAATATATCTTGAGGAGTACCAACTTGTGCATCTTCACTTACTACTTGTGTTTCAATATCTGTAATAAATAAAATGTAAAAATCACTTACTACTGTGTTACTCGTATTTTCCCTGCTGATTGTACTGACATGCTGGTATATAATAACCACAGCGCTAGAAGTTGAGTATGGGCACATAGCCCATATTAAATAAATATAATAATCTATTTCACAATAAATTATTAACGAGGTGAATTCAATTTTAACTATTTATTTTCTACAATATTGCCTGCATACATTTAAGTGCTCAGGTAAAGTATTTCACCTATGCCTAAAAAGAACATATAATAAGAATTTAACCCAAATATCAGTGAAAAAATGATCAATTTAGAAAAAAATTAGGACTTACCTAAGTTGTAATAAGGTGCAGATGAGTCTATTTCATTAAATTGAGGAGTTAATAAAGCCACAATTTTCTCATCAACTATGGTTGTCTTGGGGCAAAATGTTCCACCTCCTGTTTTGTACATCTCGGATTGAAATTAAAATTTAACATAAATATATTACATTCTTGTGTGGCACCATTGTGTAACACAAGAATCAATGAATATATTACTCCGAATACAGTCATCTTGGGTAACTTTGAACATTTTTGTACATTTTTTATACAATCACAATTATTTTTATTTGAACGTTATATTATTTTATATCATGTTGAATGTTCAAATATACTTGTCTAGGGATTGCCAAGGTTTTTATAAAGATTTATTAGATAGTTCATTAGTAATTTGCAAAAATGTAGTGATTCAATGTTACCACGAACTTTGGGTAACATTGAATGGTGTTTTCCACATCATACAAATTCTTATACTGCATCCTTAATTTGATTATTTGGGTAACTTGGAGGGTATATTTTTATTAACAAAATAAAATCTGATATTAGTGACAGTTTTCGTTCAAAAACTAACTATATATTATAGTCAAACCGCCGTAAGCTTGGCCCTCCTGATGGTTTGGGGGACGCGGGGCATTCAACCAATTAGCTAGTGCATTCAACCAATTAGCTAGTGCGTCGCTGTCCGCCGGCAGTGACTGACGTGAAAGCATGGCTGTACGTGTTATTTTTCTTAAGACTGCTACACACGGTATTATTTTGCAACATGGATAATCTGCCGACTCTGCGTCACAAGAAGATTTAAAAACTTGAAGTTCGGCTTACAGAGGTTCTACTGTTAAAGTTCTAATAAAGAACATTTAGAGGAAAGTCACCAAATATGGAATACCATTTTGTTTTTAGGATATAAAAAAAAACTTCATATAAATTAAATCAGTTTAATGTTTTTACTAATCAGACATACATTTATATGTAGTAATTCACAGCCTCTAATCAAATATATTAGTTATCAAATTAAAATCTAACACAAAAAACAATATCACAAATGAGTAACCAAATATGGAATAGGTACCCATATATGGAATAAAAGGATAAATCAACATAACAATAACTAAAATGGACATGAGATCAATTAAATGAATATAACATATTGTGATAAATGAAAAAAGTTACATAATTACTTGCTAAAGTCACAAATCCAAGTATCAAACTCTGGACCAGCACAATCATAATGTGCCCAGAGCCCACACATCAAGCATTTAATACAGCTTTCTCCATTTTTATCCACGGAAAAAAGTCTTGAACAGAACATACATTCTGCATCAGCAAAGTCAGGAGGTACTTGGTCCATCAACTCATCATGTTCACTACCTTCATCAAACTGGATAACGTCTAGTTCCTCAGAGTCTTCTTCTTCACTATCATCCTTATTTTTCTTCGTTTGTTTGTTTCTCTTCGCAGTTTTCTTCTTATACTTTGTCTTGACTAGTTTACTTTCTTTTTCTTGTCTCTTCATATTTTTATTTTTTAAATTATTTTTGTAGGGAGAAGATGTTATGACTGCTGCTACAGCAGCTTTTCTTCCTCTGCTAGATACTTTTCTTCGTTTCTCTGGCACTGGACTTATGGCATGCAGAGACACCAGATCCAAACTGCTGCGATTAAGCCCAGAAGTCGAAGGTGCAGGTTCAGGTTGTAAATTAGCAGTGGTGCAGGTATTTCTACCAGAACTTGACCTAATTATGGAATATTCCATAATTAGACACCGACGACTGTCCATATTTGGATTTTTATACTAGTTCATACTCTTCTAAATATTTTTTCAAGTCACAATATTTTAATGACAAAAGATCACAAAATGGTGAAATAAACATAACACCGACATACTAAATAGTATAACACTTATGTATATAAACATAACAGCTGGTAATACTCATTTATTACTTACCTTTAAAATTTTCTGCACGACAACAAAATAAAACACGTCTGCCACACGTGAAGCGTTCGCGCAACTGACTCGATAGTGTGAGTGCGATAGTTAGTAGACCGAATGAAACAGAAGATATGAATGAACAGAAGATATGATTCTTCAGATATGAAGTTTGTCGTACTCCCGTTGTCTAGCAAGACTCGAGCCGTGTGAGATTTGCCCTTGGGGTCCATCACTTGCACGAGCGCTGTGGACAGTAAGACAACACGAGATGCAGAACGATGATTTGCTGATAATGCAACATTTTGTGAATTAGAGGGTTCACTATCGGGTTTGTCTGCATGTAGCAAAGTATTGTGTTTTTTCTTGCAATACCTGCAATGTCCCAACCGACATTTACCAACTTCATGACCTGGTCTAAGACAATTAAGACAGACATTGAAAGAATTAACCTTCTTAAGACGATCCCAGACTGAAAGAGACCTAAACTTTTCACACGAGAATACAAAATGATCCTGCTGACACATCGGACAAGATTTGGATTTGTTAGTGCATGAAATAAAACTTTTATTTAGTTTATTATTGTTATTTTCGCTATTGGATTTTATGTATTTTGATTCTTCAAGTGTCTCCAATAAATCAGCCCTGTTGCTGAGAAAGGTAATGAAAATATTTAATGTTGGGTAGTCGGACAAAGTGTTTCTATGCTCCTCCCACTCACGGTTTGTAACAGGATCTAACTTGTTAGCCATAATATAAATTATTAAGGTATCCCAATACTGAACAGGCTGATCACCTTCATATCTGTAAGGGTACCTCTATACTCATATTCAAATGTTATCATCATAGTCTTGTTAATCACAGGAATATATATATTACAGAATCTGTTCATGCTCAGTTGTTTAATCTCATACATCTCAAGGTTACAAGATAAATATTGTCTATCCCATGTACAATTAGATTCAAATTCAAGTGCACCCTCTGTCTTAACATTATATGATGCAATGGTTACTCTTGGCTGTTCCAGGCATGCTTCACAAGCATAAGACATTACTGCTTTCAATTCACAATGAGGCTTCTCCACTATAAGCTCTTTCAACTCTACATTGCCAAATGCTAAGGTAGCATGGCCAGCTGCTCTATATGAGTAACTAAGCCAATATCTGCCATATATTTCCATCTTCTTCACTAGAGATCTATCAATCTTATATGGACTCCTAGGTGTCAACCTATCTAATGCTGGTTCATTTGTAGAGCACTTCACAGTGCATGCATCTGTACTACAATCTATCTGATCATCATGAAATATAATTTTGTTGCCCTCCTTTTCTAACTGTATATCACCTATTAGACCTCTCATAGGCATATTATGTGGTGATGCAAGTAGGTTATAATAATTGTTGTCATACTCAACTATAGAATCTCTCAATGATATTTTCTCATAATCTACTGCACTTATAGATATTGGCATATGATTCATCACTTCATTCATTATATCATTAATATCATATTTAGGATTATTTGTATTTAACTTGATCACTTTCTTCACTTCTTTATATGTTATTGTTAGCTGTGCTTCCCATGTCTGTGAATGTATATGGTAAACTGGTATTCTATTACCGACAGGTTGTATTTCCCACCTATACCATGCACAAGAGGCTCCATGGGTACACCATGACCCAGTACATGACATTGGTGTTAGGCGGAATAAAACGAGAGTGGACTGTATAAATAATATTAAAACACTGGTTAAGTACAGGGTTGTCGTTGTAGGGAAAAGAATATAAAAATATGAATTGTATATAAGGACCGCGAGCGGGTATGTATCTTAATCGCGTCGATCAGCTGAATGCCGCGCTTGTGGCCGGCGCGCGCGCATCTCATCGTGCCCGATGTCCCCTCTCTTTCTCTCTCGCTGCCGATGTCCTTGAGCACGTGTTGAATGCATGATTCAACATACTCCCCGGGTTGAAGTGTCTTCAACAGAAGAGATAGGAAGAGGGCATATGGTGTTGAAGGCTCGCCGAATGACACCCTTACGTGTGCGGATGTCGGCAACCCTTGCGATGCCGTCTCTGCCGGGTAGCACACGAACGATGCGTCCTAGAAGCCACATTAAAGGGGGTAAGCCTTTGTCTTTAATTATTACAAGAGTGCCCTCTTTAAGTTCCCCAGAAGATTGACGCCATTTGGTTCTCTCCTGAAGCCAAAGGATGTACTTGTGAGAGAAACGAGCCCAGAAATGCTGTTTCAGGTATTCGATTCGACGAAACCGTTGTAAGCTGGTGATGTTGTTGCTCTGGATCTGTGGATGTGGCAGCATGATTAGCGATCGCCCAATAAGGAAGTGAGCAGGTGTCAAAGGAGTCATGTCTGTAGGGTCACTGGATAAGGGAGTTAGTGGCCTCGAGTTCAAAATGGCTTCGACCTGTGTCAAGCATGTAGCCATCTCTTCAAACGTCAAGTTTGTTAGGCCCAAGATACGTCTGAGATGGTGCTTTGTCGACTTAACTGCGGACTCCCACAATCCGCCGAAGTGTGGAGTGTACGCCGGTATGAATGAAAAGTTTATACCTGAGTCAATATCTTTGAAGTTTAAGTCCTGTGATAAAAGATCAGACAATTCATTAAACGCGCCCACAAAGGTTGTGCCATTATCCGAGAAAACGTTTCGCGGCTTTCCTCTGCGAGCAATAAAACGGTTCATACTTGCTAAGAAAGCCTCTTTTGTAAGGTCGGATACAAGTTCGAGGTGAACTGCCCTGGTAGCTAAACACACAAATATGCAAATAAAACACTTGATGAGCCTACAGCCTCTGCCCTTGCGGTCTGCTATGATGATAGGCCCAGCGTAATCCACGCCTGTGTCCAGAAAAGGAAACTCTAAATGTAAACGCTGCTCTGGAAGGTCACCCATGATAGGTTGAACAGTACTAGCCTTTATCCTGCAACATTTTACACACTGATGTGTGACCCTTTTGGCCAAATTCCTACCACCAATGGGGTAATAGTGATGTCGAATTGTAGCAAGTAAGAGTTGCGGTCCTGCATGCAAGAGACGAAGATGGTACATGTTAAATATTAAAATACAAATATTATGAGAGCTGGATAAAAGAATTGGATGTTTTACGTTAAAGTCGTAAAATGAATTCTTTAATCTGCCACCTACACGAATAAGCTTAGTTGCTTCATCTAGGAAAGGTGACAGAGACAAAAGTTTATTTTTTGCTGGCAGCGGTCTACCCGCCAACAATAAGGTGTACTCTTCCCGAAAGGACTCCTGTTGACTAAATCTGAGTAAGAAGTGTAATGAAGTAGTCAACTCACTGCTAGCAAGAAGACCACTGCCCACAGAGTTCTTTCGGCACTTGTTAATAAATCGGAATACATATGCTATTATACGTTGTAATTTATTAAAACTAGAGTATTTTTGTGATATAAGCGAAAAATAATTAATGTTGCTGTCATTTGTGTCAACATGATGAGAAGCTGCTATTTCCTTTGAGTCACATGCATCACTCTCAGGAAAGGTCGGCCACAAAAACGGCTCCTGTCGTAAGAATTGTGGGCCTGACCACCATAATGAGGATGACAACAGCTTGTCAGCCCTGAGTCCGCGCGAAGCGAGGTCTGCGGGGTTCTCGAGAGAAGGGACATAACGCCAAGAGCACTCTCCGACAGTATCCTGAATTTCCGAGACGCGATGACGAACGAAGCTCTGTAATTGTGTTGGTGGTGCAGACAGCCAACCTAAAACAATAGTGGAGTCACACCAAAATATTGATTCATGTATATGAACAGTAAGAGACTGACGAATCTTATGATAAAGCCGAGTTCCTAACAATGCTCCTGAAAGTTCCAATCTTGGAATAGTAGTTGACTTGATCGGAGCCACCTTACTTTTAGCGCCGAGCAGGTGAACGCAAACCTCTCCTTTCTCCGACACGCTGCGAACATAAATACACGCACCGTAAGCCTTTTCAGAAGCATCAGAGAAAACATGCAGTTGCAAAGAAGACACCGAGTCGCATGTTATCCAACGTGGTATTTCGAAGTTGTTCAGGAGAGGTAAAGTGATCTGAAAAGCACTCCAAGCAGACTGAATTTCATCAGGAATTGGTTCGTCCCAAGAGCATTTAGCTAGCCAAAGCCGTTGCATGATTATTTTAGCACTGACGATGCAAGGGACGACTAGGCCAAGCGGATCAAAAATCTGTGCTATTGTTGACAAAATCTGACGTTTTGTGGTTTTGTCGGTAACAGTTAAATTAATTCTAAACGTAAATGTATCTGTCGAACACCTCCAATAAAGTCCCAGGGTTTTCGACATCTGATTACCATCGCTTAAATCCAAAAAGTCTGGGCCAATTAGATCAGCGGATAGTGCCTGCAAGACCTCATGTGAGTTTGACTGCCACTTGCGAAGATTAAACTTTGCAGACTGTAGAGCAGAAACGACCTGGCGACACCTGTCTATTGTCTCCGAAACAGATGAACCACCAGATAAATAGTCATCAACGTAAAAGTCGTGTAATAGTGTAAATCGTATTTTTGGATCAGAGCACTCCTTCGACAACTGAATCAAGCATCTAATTGCCAAAAAAGGAGCTGATGCAGTACCGTACGTTACGGTGTTTAAATTGTACGTTTTCAATTGATGACTGGGATCTGCCCTCCATAGGATCTGTTGCAGAGGTCTATGAACCTTACAGACTAATCTTTGTCGGTACATTTTTTCGATGTCCGCACTAACCACAACCTTATGTTGACGAAAACGAAGCAATATTGACAACAAATCATCTTGTAAATTTGGCCCGACCATTTGTATGTCGTTAAATGATTTGCCTGAGGTTGTAGCAGCCGAAGCATCGAATACAACACGAAGTTTTGTTGTTGTGCTTGATTCCTTTAAAACACCATGATGTGGAATGAAATAGGCATGGCTAGAATTAGGTATTTGTTCAGTGACAACAGACATATGCCCCAACCGTTTGTACTCTTTCATGAAGTCTATATACATGCCCTTAAAATGAGAGTCTCTGGCTAGACGACGCTCGAGAGCTAAGAATCTACATTTAGCCATCATGTAGGAATCGCCAAGTACATCAGGAGACTCCTTCAAAGGAATGTTAACCACAAAGCGACCCTCTGAATCACGAACAGTAGTGTCAATAAAGAGTTGTTCGCAAGCCCGTTCCTCCGAAGTAAACTTATGTTTCGGTTCTATAGAGTCTAGCATCCAAAACCGAGATAAGTCTATTTGTATGTTATCAATATGCATGCACTGATTAGAGGATGAGTGAGACTGCTGACATACACCAGAAACGATCCAGCCCAACTTTGACTCGAACAAAGAAGGCTTGTTTTTACCCAATGCGATACGATTCGCGCCTATGATACCCCAAAATACTTCCGCGCCGACTAAGATGTCGATTGAAGACGGAGTGTAGTACTCAGGGTCGGCAAGACGAATGTTCGAAGGTATACAAACATCGCTAGTGTCAATAAATGTGTTCGGTATCAATGACGTTACTTTTGGTAAGACAAAGCACTCAATATTAATTTCATAATCACTATGAAATGATTTGAAAGAAACCGAGCAGCCTTTGCAACAATAAGACGATTGTTGGTTAATACCTGTTACCCTTGACTTGGCATTGTAAGTAGGAAAATGAAGCTTACGTACAAATTCTTCAGATATGAAGTTTGTCGTACTCCCGTTGTCTAGCAAGACTCGAGCCGTGTGAGATTTGCCCTTGGGGTCCATCACTTGCACGAGCGCTGTGGACAGTAAGACAACACGAGATGCAGAACGATGATTTGCTGATAATCCAACATTTTGTGAATTAGAGGGTTCACTATCGGGTTTGTCTGCATGTAGCAAAGTATTGTGTTTTTTCTTGCAATACCTGCAATGTCCCAACCGACATTTACCAACTTCATGACCTGGTCTAAGACAATTAAGACAGACATTGAAAGAATTAACCTTCTTAAGACGATCCCAGACTGAAAGAGACCTAAACTTTTCACACGAGAATACAAAATGATCCTGCTGACACATCGGACAAGATTTGGATTTGTTAGTGCATGAAATAAAACTTTTATTTAGTTTATTATTGTTATTTTCGCTATTGGATTTTATGTATTTTGATTCTTCAAGTGTCTCCAATAAATCAGCCCTGTTGCTGAGAAAGGTAATGAAAATATTTAATGTTGGGTAGTCGGACAAAGTGTTTCTATGCTCCTCCCACTCACGGTTTGTAACAGGATCTAACTTGTTAGCCATAATATAAATTATTAAGGTATCCCAATACTGAACAGGCTGATCACCTTCATATCTGTAAGGGTACCTCTATACTCATATTCAAATGTTATCATCATAGTCTTGTTAATCACAGGAATATATATATTACAGAATCTGTTCATGCTCAGTTGTTTAATCTCATACATCTCAAGGTTACAAGATAAATATTGTCTATCCCATGTACAATTAGATTCAAATTCAAGTGCACCCTCTGTCTTAACATTATATGATGCAATGGTTACTCTTGGCTGTTCCAGGCATGCTTCACAAGCATAAGACATTACTGCTTTCAATTCACAATGAGGCTTCTCCACTATAAGCTCTTTCAACTCTACATTGCCAAATGCTAAGGTAGCATGGCCAGCTGCTCTATATGAGTAACTAAGCCAATATCTGCCATATATTTCCATCTTCTTCACTAGAGATCTATCAATCTTATATGGACTCCTAGGTGTCAACCTATCTAATGCTGGTTCATTTGTAGAGCACTTCACAGTGCATGCATCTGTACTACAATCTATCTGATCATCATGAAATATAATTTTGTTGCCCTCCTTTTCTAACTGTATATCACCTATTAGACCTCTCATAGGCATATTATGTGGTGATGCAAGTAGGTTATAATAATTGTTGTCATACTCAACTATAGAATCTCTCAATGATATTTTCTCATAATCTACTGCACTTATAGATATTGGCATATGATTCATCACTTCATTCATTATATCATTAATATCATATTTAGGATTATTTGTATTTAACTTGATCACTTTCTTCACTTCTTTATATGTTATTGTTAGCTGTGCTTCCCATGTCTGTGAATGTATATGGTAAACTGGTATTCTATTACCGACAGGTTGTATTTCCCACCTATACCATGCACAAGAGGCTCCATGGGTACACCATGACCCAGTACATGACATTGGTGTTAGGCGGAATAAAACGAGAGTGGACTGTATAAATAATATTAAAACACTGGTTAAGTACAGGGTTGTCGTTGTAGGGAAAAGAATATAAAAATATGAATTGTATATAAGGACCGCGAGCGGGTATGTATCTTAATCGCGTCGATCAGCTGAATGCCGCGCTTGTGGCCGGCGCGCGCGCATCTCATCGTGCCCGATGTCCCCTCTCTTTATCTCTCGCTGCCGATGTCCTTGAGCACGTGTTGAATGCATGATTCAACAATGCTCAAGTTGAATAGATGTCGACAAATCAGGTACTGTTAGGATACAGGAGTAAATTAAGTGTAATGGATTTAGGAGTATTTAAATGAAAAAAATGAAGGCTTCACGATAATACTTTTTAATCATCATCTCTTACAACTACAGCGTCGAGGAATGCTGCTGGCGCTGATATTGTCGGCTGATGCCTGGCCCACCCAAGATACCACACAAGAGTCATAACATGTGCACAGCACCCAACCGTTCTTCTACCAACTAGACAATTACAGCAATACTCTACTATAGCTTCCCTTCCAGGGACATTATTTTCAATTAGTATATAAACATAATATACTTTTCTCGAAATGTGTCTGGATTTAATTTTGTCTCTTATTAGCGAATTATTTCCACTTCCTCTCAAACGATACTCTGCTACATTAATGTTTTCTCTGCTTATTTCAATTCGATACCCTCCGTGAAACCTGACATGTTCACTATAATAGGACCTTGCCTGTCGGATCTGGTATGTCCCTAGGGCAAATAATATAACTTCACTATATTCTAGACGGGGGAATATAATATTAGTATTGGAATGAGCTGTTATACTAGTAAAATCAGATGTTCGTCTATTCATATTCAAAGTGTTTATAAAATCTGATAAATTATTATTTAATGGAAATCGTTCCCTAATCACATTTATGATTTGCTCAGCATCATTCCTATTTTTCAAACGAACACCGAATTTATTTAAAAGGCTTGCAGCTATGGAAAACATTTGCATCATGTGAGGAACCGTTTTATTAAAAAAATCTTGCCGGAATATTTTAAAATCTCTTTTGAAGTATCCGTTAACCACTTTTACCACCCAACGGCATATAGTCACACACCGACTCCTGTTAGCTTGCTCGGTGGTGAGCTGATGTTCACCCTCAAGCAGGGATTCTGGCATATATGTTTTGTAGCTGCAAGCCTCTAACAAACTAATCGAGTGTCTAAATACCCTGTCTAGAATAAAAATATCATTATTTTGGAAGTATCGTCTGAGAGAAGAGTTTTCATCTCTGAAAAGAGACTTCATTATATCTGCATCAGATGTGGTAGCTTTGTATGGGCCAAAGCAGTGTACAATGTAGCCATCAGGTGCCACCAGCAAAAACGGTTTTAACAAGTTCCTATACTTATGTAATGAATAAATGTTCTTTTGGAACATATAATTAGAGCTTTTATTAATATAAGTGTAAGTCCCATCACATATCATTATCGTGTTTTCATTATCTTGATTATAAATTGAATTTGGAATAATTAAATTGTGTTGCAACAATTGTTCACAGGATATATGTTGAAGTCCCAGATTTGTAGGCACATAATCCTGTACCAATATTTCCCTAGCCTTATCCATCAGTCTTTCTAATGGTCGTCTTGGAACCATTAATAATTGGGATAACCGGTCATCTGAGTTACCAGTTCTCATCTTCATTAAAAGAACACCTAAACCCAAGATGCCTCTCTTTGTTTCAATAAGACGCGGTATTTCATACAATAAAAGTTCAAATTGCTGTTTATTCATTCCCAGCCAATAATGAAACATATGTTTATCGATTCTTTCAACACTTTCTATACTGGAATAATCCAGAAATGTATTGAAAGCATTTATAAAAGAAAATGCATGTTCTATTTGTTCAGCCGTAAATGTTCTTAAACTATTTTCGGAATTGAACAACATATCCCAATCATTACTAAATGTATGTTCTAGACAAATACGAGCATTTACGAGCAAGTAATATTTGTGTTGGCTTAAAGCGGCTATACACGACACTAAAATCAGCGGCGATATCGAGACAGTAGGGGGTATGAAATCGGCTATTCTCTACACACGTCGCTGGCAGTCAGTACGTAACCGACCGTGCAACAGACTGCTCGTTGATCCGAGATGCCGCCGACACTCTCAAAGCAGCAAAAAATAGGCATTGTCTTGGCACTTACTATGGTGCCACCTAATCAGAAACGAAAAAGGAGGACCTGGGTTAAAAACTGGTTGATGAAACGTCATGAATTAAGCCACATGAACGTGATGAGACATTTAGAAGCAGATGAGTTCAGAAACTTTTTAAGAATGGATTCTGAGTGTTTTGAAGAACTCCTCAATATGGTGACACCATTAATACAAAAACAGGATACCGTAATGCGAGAATCCATAAGTCCGAGAGAACGACTTACAGTTACTTTACGTTTTCTAGCAACTGGACAAAGCTATGAGGATTTAAAATTCAGTGCCGTAATATCGCCGCAACTTATGTCCACAATGATTCCAGAGACATGCTACGCTATCTATAAATGTTTGAAACACTTAATTAAGGTAAGTAGACTAAATTCTTATAGAGTAATTAAAACACCAATTAAAAACCATTTTTTCATTTATTTAAAAAATATTGAAAAACTTTTTTTTTGAAGATCAAAAAATCCTTCATATCTGCTCCAGTTCCTATTTTAATTGTTGTATCACTAAATGTACAGTTTGGAAATTCAGTGTTAAAAGGTTCAGTGTTCGACGATGAAGAATACGGCTGCGGAGATGTTTGAGGGGATTGTGGTGTCATATAATGTTGGGATGGTTGAGGAGAAGGTTGTACCGTAAGCTGTGAAGATATTTGAGGGGATTGTGGTATCATATAATGTTGGGATGGTTAGATACCTTAAAGGGTCTCGTAAATGTTATTTTCATTTCACTATGTGTTGTATTTTGAATCACGGTTTGAGCGAATGAATTTATGCAGTTTACCATAGCGTCAGGCATACGTACTCCTGAGCAAAATTCGGTGTAATTTAATATTGCGTTACCATTTTCTAAAGAGGTAGGTACCTTTACACGTTTTTCTGACCTAGGGGGTATTACTATTTGGTGAGAGGGGTTATATAGAATAGGGATATTCGCCGTTCTTGTTCTTAAAATTGAATCTTTCATATCTACATTGGCTTCTAATTTTGTTAGTAGATCTGATCCAATAAGACCGTTATATGTGTTATTCACTTTGTAAATATAAATATTGTGTTTGAAATTTTCTTTGAACGTTTTTGGTAGGGGGATATTTGCCATTTGGTCATGTTTACTGCGACCATGAGTGCTAAAGACTTCGTTCGAATGGCTCTGAACTAATATATTTCTTAAAATATCGGTTTGCTAATTCTGAATTTATAAACGAACGTGTACTACCAGTATCAATTAAAAATATTGACTGTATTTCAGGTAAACATATATGAGGTAATTTAAGACCGAATAATTGAGTTTTATTACTTCGGTTGGGAATTGGAGAGGCTTCTATTTGAAAATTTGCGTCTATTTCTTCACTACTGTATTCGTTAGTAAATTAAATTCGTCTATAACCGTATCGTCATAGTCTTGTCCGAATTCATAGTCAGCTTCTTGTTCATTTAGCATATTATTTTGTACGGTACGCATGTAACAATGCTTTTACTAAGATAGCAGCTTTTCCTACTAACCTACTGGTTACACAATGGTAGAGGTAAGCTTGTTGAGTTGGGTTATTGTCCCCACGGAAACTTTTAATTACATATTCACATTTTGAAATAAATAAATTGAGTAACTTATCATCTCCATCGGATCTAGGAATGATGCTCTGAATTTCTTTGGGTATTAATTGAATTTGACTCATTTTGATTACAATGATTACAACTTTTAGGGTAAAAAAATAATAACGTAAACGACGATTTTTGTTCGAATTACGTGACTTAATAGCTAAAACTGTGTAATCTACTGAAGTTTGTGTAAAATACACATACGTCTAAATGACGATTTTAGTCCAATTAGATATAAATATAATAGACAAGGGTTTAAGGAAATGCGAATAAGGGTCTACTCACAATCTGCTCGATCCCATGCCGTTTCTTGAGTAGCTTGATGCAGGACGCGTGTCGTTCAGTTGACTTATTTGTTTGATAGGTTCGACAGAGTTAGTGTCTATGCGTCTAGGATAACGTAAACGACCGATTCTTGTGTCTTTTATACGATCACTATTCGCGACTACTAATCCGACCCGGCTGCGCCAGTCAAATATGAACGCGGTCTAGTTCATATAAAAATATATTTATTTCGACAGCACACGTGTGCTCAGCATGAGCTTGTTTTATTCAAGAAAATTTTTGGTTAAGAAACATTGGCTTATATACTAATAATTGGGTGCATGTGTGCATGGTGTACAGTACCTCACACATGCGCTTATTTAGCGAATGACGTTAGTCTAATGGTTTCAGACATACGAGGGAGCGTTTTTATGTTCGCGGAATGGGGGATAAGGGGTGGAAATAAAAAAACCAAATTATTTTTCCTTTTCAATATATTCACCTGCAAGACGGATACATTTTTCAGATCTTTCAATTAATTTGTTTATACCCTCATAAACAAATGTTTTCTCTTT